TAGAATCTGTACTTTACACGAATCCGGCGGTGAACGAGGCGGCGGTGGTGGCACGACCGGACGAGTTTTGGGGGGAGACGCCGTGCGCATTCGTGAGCTTGAGAGAAGGACTGACTCGGAAGCCGACGGAGGAGGAGATAATGGAGTATTGCAGAGGGAAGCTGCCGCGGTTCATGGTGCCGAAGACGGTGGTTTTCAMGGCGGAGCTGCCGAAGACGTCGACCGGAAAGATCCAGAAGTTCGTGCTCAAAGAGATCGCCAAGTCAATGGGCCCCGCATGAACGAGTCACTTGTAGAAGTAGAAGTAGTGGATTGGTCCTCAACAACAATTTTACTTAATGGAAAAAACTTAATTACTCCTTAACCTTACTTGGTTTAATAATAAGTAAACAACTGTTTGACTTTTATTATTATTATTGTTATTATTTTATTAAAATTCATATATCTCATTAAAATATCTTCAAGTTTTTTCGTACAATATTTGATACTTCTCAAGTAGATGTCAATTAATGCTGAAGTATATTTGATCAAGTTGGCTTCTCTCTTCCTACTATTTTAAAGTCCTAATTATTATTAAAAAATTTACTACTCATCATTTAAAAGAAATCTTGTTTTTTCATTTTCCTATTAGTGGTCAAATATTATAATGAAATTATCCTAATTGTCAACAAAATATTAAAAAGAAAAATACATATATATTGTCAACAAAATAACTTTACCTACAAGTATCACAATAAAAAATTATATAACATATTCTCAGTGATTTATCTAAGAACTTCAATTCCAACAATTAAAAATGATACAACTATTAATGATTTTTTTTCAATATTAACGTCCAATTGACAATGACAGAGGTCTATCAAAACAACAACTCAATTGTAATTGAGCTGTATTCCTTATCTCCAGGTTGAAGATTGGATTTCTTATATCTTCAAATTGTTGTACTAAAAAGAGACAAATAAAGGTTAGTTCAGCTCAACAATAATTAGTCCATAACTCTGACCTAGATGTTATGAATTCGAATCTCGCACCTCACGCTCCTAAAAAAAATTTGATGAAATGCTAGTTTAAACTTTCAACTCTGCCTATTACATTCAATCTCCATCTATGTAATTATTAAATTAAAAAAGAAAAAAAAAGAAGGATCGAAAATCAAGAGAGTGGGAGACAGCCATAAAAATCCAAGTCACTACCAACTCCGTCTGCAGATTTATTTGACTGTAAAATCCGAATCCCCAAATGGACAAAAGGAAAGAGAGTGTAGCGACGACCAGCGGTCTTCTTCTTCTTCGTCCACTGCAGTCTGCAACTCAGAAATTGGCTATAAATTCGGCCTTATCGGCGACCTCCGAGCTCACAACAATGGCTTCTCTCAGGATTTCATTCGTCTTGAAGCTCTTCTTCTTCGCATTGCTTCTCATCGCCTCTAGGGTTTCTGCGAGTACTCCTTCCATTCACAAACGCCCTCGCATTCGTAAGTTCATCTAAATGCTTTTCTTTCTTTTTTTTTTTTTTAAGTCTGTGGTACAAAACCATGTTTTTTTAACGTAGATCAGATAAAAAGTATCGACGTGTTTGACATATATTTAATATCATAAAATTTGTATTTCTTTATTAATTTATTAACTTTGATTTTGACTTTTGGTGATGTTTACAAGGTAAACTGGGTATGGAGTATAGAAGTGTTGGGAAGGCTGTGTTGAGAGCAAAGGCAGCAAGTTATGATTTCCCATGGAAGGGTGGTTACAACCCTCCAAACAACAACCCTTGATACGATTTTCCGCACTATTTTCTCTACTTTTGTGGGTTAATGAGTATTGAATTATTATCATGTTACTCTTCTACTTTATTTTCTCAATGTTCACTTGCCAAATTGTGTTGTAATCGGGTATTAAATTTTTATCCATATGTCGACATTTTCATTGAGATCTTCTACGTGTCCATGAAATCGATAGCAACATCAGGGTAAATCGACGTAGTATTGTAAAAAAATATGAAAAGTATTAACAAAATATCATTAATATTGATATAATATTAATATTAATCATTTTTAATTCCATAACTTTTATGAAAATCGACATCAATATTTTATTGATATTTCATTGACAAATCTATGAAATTGAGGTTTCGATATTTTTGTCGGAGGTTTTAAATGTAGCATTTGGCCAAAATATATATAAATGGAGATCATTTCTTTGAAAGTTTTGGGAGGTGTTTCTCAAACTTGAATCAAGTAAGATAATTAAGAACAAAGAAGTCTTATTTCCTTTGGAATAAGTCCAAAAGAAAGCCAAGCAATAGAAAATGATGAAACAGATATGTGTATTCGTTAAAGTCTCTCCAATTAATAGTGATAACCACTTGTTGGGTCGATTAAATTTATCATATTCCACCAACTGGTACAAAGAAAATAGAAACAAGAAAAATAGTTCAAGAGGAGGAAAGAAATAAAAAAGAGAAAGTAAAGAGAGATGAGAAAAAAATGTAAAAGTCATATCATGGGTGAGCATCATCAAGGATACAATAACTTTTGTAAATCATTTAGAATTATTTCTTAAATCTCATGGATTAAAATGTGGAATAAAAGAATAGAATTTAAGTGTAATTTTTTTTAAACAAACTTTTCTTTTGGTAATGCAAAATATTGAAACGAGTCATACCAACATGAGTATCAACAGTTCCAACATCTACTTCGCCTTGTTTAAAAATTAAAGGTTCAAATCACCGCATATTCCAATTTATTGCATACTAAAAAAATGGTTTAAATAATGTGGTGTTAAAGTTTTGATATATATTTATTAGAATTTAACTCTATTTCAATTCTTCAACTTTTAAGAATCCTTCTATTTTGGTTCATAGACTTTTAATATATCTAATTGTGAAATTTTTAAGTTTATTCTATATTATAATGGTGCCTAAATTTTTAAAATGTTTTTTTGTAGTTGAGTCTTTTTTTTTAAAGAACAACCATTTTAGTTCTCATTGTTATTTTTCATTAATTATTATGCAAATAGATAACATGATTTTAAATATGTGTATTAACATGGCTAAGATGAGTACTTATTAAAGCCATAAAAATTGATTGAGCGAAAAGATATTCAGTGACAAAATATATAGCAATCACCAAAGTAGTTAATATTTTTCAAAAGTTCAAACCACTAAGATAAATATTTGAAAATTCAATAAAAATAATGTTGATGTGTGGCACGTCAACGGGTGATCCAATGTTGACTTTGACATTGGCTTAACTGGAAACTTGTAAACATAATAGTGTTGTGTTTGGCCACATATACTCTAAAGCTTAAGTTAGTACTTTACTAATTCGAGTTAATATCAAGTTGAGCTTATGCAAATGCAAGAGATTTCATACCTTCAAGAAGGTGGAACTCTGTCTTTCATAATAGGAGCATTGGAAAGTGGTGCCCTGCATTGCATTGACGATACCTGTACCTATCATTCAGTTGATATCCTACCAAAGATTCTTTATTGACAGAGAATTGATATTCCACTACTTGTCAACAGATTTCTTGCTGGTCATAGTTTTCATTGGTCAAATTCGAACTGAGCACAACTTTTAGACATGTTGGCCTTACCTTATCGCTTTGACGTGTCTGAACTGAGACAGTCACCAATACTTACAACGAATAAATATTTTAAAAATTTAAACGTCAAAATAATAATTATATATATATATATATATATATGTTATGTATGTATGTATTTTTTTCGTGTATATATATTTTGAGTATCTAAAAAAGCAAGCATTAACTAACATGAGGTTAGTTGAGCAGTTAAGACATTTTTCTCATGCTCTAGAATTTGAAGGTTCAATCTCTGTCCCAGGATCGTTGTATTAAAAAAATAACGTGAGGTCAAAGGGAAAAAATACTATACGCTAAATTAATAATTTATGACCCGTTTGATAACTATTTGATTTTTTATTTTTAGTTTTTAGTTTTTAGATTTTTTAAAAATAGTGTTTTTTGATAACCCATTTTATGATCTGTTTTAAAAAAACAAAAATATGCTTTTCAAAATCTCATTTTTTCTTCTAATATTCAATTTTTTTTCCTTGATATATTTATCTCTGACAAATTTCTTTCTAGGTCTTTTTTCTTCTTAAATTTCTCCCACTAAAATTTTCATATTCTAAATATTTATTATTATTTTTCTCTCTCCAAAATTTTCATCTTTATATGTTTTTTTTCCTTTTTCTTTTGTTTTAAGACACCGTTTTCATTTATCTCTCTAAAAATTAAAAATTTTCTCAAAAAATTTTCTCTCTACAATTTTCTTTTGTAACTTTTATTTCTCTTCCTAATCTATTTTTCCTCTAAAAATTATATCTTATTTTCTCGTTCTATTTTCGTTTACTATATCTTTTATTTCTCTTTTAATTAATTTATTTTCTCTAAAAAAACATATTTCGAATCTTGTTTTTATCTCTAATTTTTTTTCTCAATATAATATAATTTTTTTTTCTTTCTTTAACATACCTTTTTCTAGGGGTGTTCACGGGTTGGGTTGGGTCGATTTAGGGGAGTTTTTTGGACCAACCCGAATTTTCGGGTTGGGTAGAATAGAGAACCGATGGAACCGAACAAGAAGGTCAACCCAACCCAACCCAACCCTGATACGAATCCATTTGTGACCAATTACATATATCAAAGGAGCAATTATTACAAGAAAGGCAAGGAAGATTCAAGAGGCTTTCACACTGCACCTTCAAAAGCTTGTTAATGCACAAGAACCAACAAAGAGTTTTGAGCCCGAATTTATTCATAATGTTACTTCAATGAGTCAAGAAGAGAATGGAGCAAAGATGGCACGGGAAAAGTTGTCTATTTTGAGAGATGGCACAAAGGACAAAAAAAGTGTGCAGATTCGTGAACAGGTGCCTTTGCAGATTGCACCTCTTTGGAGTTTGTGAAGTCAAAAGTTGTCAAACCATAACCAAATGTGAAGCGCCTCCTACAGCACATAGATAAGACCATTTGAAGCATGACTACGTTTTCTGATCCGCATTTAAGTGTCTAGAATAATGTGCAATCAAGTTTTAATTTGCATGTCTTATTTTCTACAATTTGCATTAAGTAGTATTTTGAAAAACTTTTGGTGTTCTTATGTTGAACGACCATTTGGCCTATTTAAAGGCTTGTAATGCTCTTGTTATGGGTAACTTAAGATTAAAACATATTGAAATTCAAGAACTTTTGTTCCTTAACACTTTTGGTGTTGCTTCTTTCAAATATTGCTTTAGGTTTGATGTTAAACTGATTCATTGGATTAGTCTCGATCAAGCTAATTCTGGAGTGAGTCGTCTTAGGATCTAGGAGTGACCATCGTAGATTCTAAGTCCGATCTAAGAGTGATTCATCTTCTAACCTTACTCTTGGTTGGAATCATTCGGTAAGTTAGTNGGCGGAAGGAGGGGGGAGAAGAGAGAGGGGGAGGGGGGGAGGTTAGGGTCTTGGTTAGGTTTAATATATATATATATATATATAATTTATATATTACATATATAATAAAAAAATAAAAATAAAGTATTATCGGGTTGGGTCGGGTCAACCCGAAAATTTTAAGGCTTAACCCGAGACCCGACCCAACCCGGTCGGGTTGAGAATTTTTCAACCCAACCCAACCCTTATGGGTTGGTTGGGTTCGTCGGGTTCACCGGGTTGTCGGGTTTTTGAACACCCCTACTTTTTTCTCCCAACTTTACTTTTTTTCTCTACAATTTTCTTTTCATCTTTAACTTTTCTTTTAGTACATTTTTTAAAAATATTTTGTTTATCTCTCTTAAATTTATCTTTAAAACGTTTATTTCCATCCCACTAAACTTATATTTTCATGTCTCCTCATTTAAGAATGACAAAAATTATCGCAGGGTGGGTCTCATTCCAAAAATAGGAAATGAATATTACAACCCCATCTGGATCCATTTTCTAAATAATTAATATATATTTTATTAACATATTTACTAAGTTGTGAATAAAATATTAAATATTTTTTAAACGAATTATTTATACTAGTAAATAATTGTTAAAAAAATTAATGTATATTTATTATATATTTTTTATTTCTAAAATAATTAAAAGCGATAATTTTTCCCACGAATATTTCTCCCCAAATAAGAATTATTTAACCTAGATCTCGATTCCAAAATTGAAGAAAGAGGTGGAGATGGTAGACTAAACATTTTTAGAAGCACGAGAATAAGAGAGTACATCCTCACTCCCACCCCACTATTATCATCTCTACTTTATATATAATTTTTTTCTTCTAATACATATTTTTAATTTTTAAAATTTTAAAACAGAAAATTAAAAATTGTTAAACATGTTTGATTTTATGTTTTTTAAAATCATCCAACCTATTCGGTTTTTATTTTCTAATAACTAAAAACAAAAAACAAAAAAATAAAAAACCAAAAAGGAATGTTATCAGGACAAACGGGTCCTTAATTATCCAGAGAGTATGGAAGTATGGAAATGGTAAGATTTTGGCAGTTGTGTCCGAAATCGAGCCATTGTTTGGTGAGAAGACGATAACATACAAAGAATAATGGCGTTGGCTACGGCGGTGTCCTCGCCGCCAAATGCATTCCTTCTTCAACCACAGCGAGTAACTGTAGCAGAGAGAACAAAAATGGCGGGGTTTTGGCCCTCCGCCTCTTCCTCTTTACCAACTCCATCCAACTCCCGCCCTCTTCTTCATTTCAGTTTCAGCAGACAACTTCTTCTTGCATCGCCCAATTCCTCCCCTGCTCCAATCGTTCACCGGCGAGTAGGGTTTCACTTCAGCAGCACCGGAAGGTACGGCCACAATGACTGGTTCCGTGCCGATTATGTACCAATTCCCGTGGTGAATTGCACCAGAAGTGGGGCAGATACTGAATTGGATTTGTCGGAGTCCGTTGATTGCGTGGGGACTGCCCAGGATGTGGAGTGCGTTGTTTCCCCGGCCGACGAAGATCCTCGATCTTCGATTGCCGATGTCGATGGTGATGGCTCTTTGGCAGTCTTGGGGAAAGCCTGGGAGTTCGCGGTGTTGGTGTCGCCATTTTTCTTCTGGGGTACGGCTATGGTGGCCATGAAGGAGGTGCTTCCGAGGTCTGGTCCTTTCTTTGTTTCCGCCTTTCGTCTTATACCTGCCGGTTTCCTTTTGATTGCCTTTGCTGCTTTCCGCGGTCGCCCCTTTCCCTCTGGTTTTTCTGCTTGGATTTCCATCGCTCTCTTTGCTCTAGTCGACGCTACATCATTTCAGGGCTTTCTTGCTCAAGGCTTGCAGAGGACATCCGCAGGCTTGGGCAGTGTATGTTCCATTTTTGCATCTTATGCCTCGTTACATCTATATCTTTCTACTTCATTGCAAATTGGTAATTAATTTAGTATTTGTTGAAAGCGCTGGTGGACAAAAAATAAAAAGGAAAAAGTCTGATATGGACCTGTTTTCTTACAAAAATCAAGAACACAAACTGAACTCAATAAAGTTATTTCGTTGGACTCTTTATTTTTTATTTCGTTTGCTTGCTTGATTACTAACGAGAGGAAGGATGAAATTCAGCTCTTTTCCACTTATTTCGATAGAAAGAGACAATAAATCTTTTATTAGTGAATTGATATTGGATGACGGTTGAATGTTGAGATGAAAGGAAGAAATGATCAGTCTTTCCCGAATTTACACTCTAGACTCTAGATTAGAGGAGTTGGTTCTTACCTGATGCTGTGGATTGGCAACAAATTTTGGCGGAGAGGTGACCCTTTTGAAGAAAATTTGATGCAATGACAATTTGGGTACAATAAAAGCACTAGGGTTAAATGGATTCACCGAAAGATTCCTTATATAGAGATTGCTTTCCACAGATTTCTATAGGTGCCAGTGCCAACGGCGAGGAGACCATACTTGCTAGTCACAATCTTATACCATAGAGCATCAGTTTCAAGGGAAAACACCACAATGACTCTGAAAGGAGAGTGTTATTTCTTATTCTCAGATTTCCTACCTTTAGCCCTCCTGCCTCACACAATTTAAACACAACCTTCCATTTAATGGGATGGGACCCCTAACCTCCTCTCAAAGGAAATTTCTTGAAGAGTTTCTCGAGCATTAAAGTGACGAGGAGGAGGATATCATTTTATAACCTCTACTTGGAGTTCTCTTGATAAAAACTTTTGCAATTATGTTTTGTCTTTTTTATTTGTGCCATTTGGTGGGGATGTTCAGTGTTCTATGTTTTATTTTCATTTTTCCAATGTCAATTTTATATTAAAAAAAATTACATATAGCATTCACGTTTTCTGTTCCTACACCTTAATTTGCAGGTAATAATTGATTCTCAACCATTAACCGTAGCGGTGCTTGCAGCCTTATTATTTGGTGAATCCATCAGTTTGATTGGAGCCGCTGGACTTTTACTTGGTGTTTTAGGACTTTTGCTTCTTGAGGTACTTCCTTTTCCCCTTGTTGGTATAGTTGGGGGCTCTTTTGTTACTGCTTACGGATGTACTAAAAAACAGAACAGTTATGGAGATGTGCACAACTCATGAGACTAACAGAGTGTAATCTTAGCTTGATTTATGTAATTGGTGGGGAGTTTGGGGAGCTTTGGTCTGATGAAACCCAGTTTCTTGTAGAAATGAAAACCATAATTTTATAGTACTCTCATGGTTTAGAGTTAGAGTTATCTTGAGGTTGAGAGTTCGAGCCTTATAGTACTCTCCTCTCTCAAAATGCAGAGAGATTCTGAATATCATATTTATACTGAATTTCAAGAACTGTTAAACACACTTTAGCATCTTCGATGCTACAATCTGATCAAATCTTGATTTTTAAATTTCACCATTCATACTCTTTTTGTTAACTGTAATTGCACTATCTTATAAATGTTCAGCTTAGCTTCTTGGCCTCTTTTAAATAAAACACTTTTTTCTTTCTCTTCCACAATAGAATAATTGTCTTGTGTGTGTGTGTAATGTCTTTATATTATTTTCATCATTTTGTTGGTACGATTATTAAAGAATATTATCCTTTGGAAAGACGTGACATTCATGAGACTAATCTATCTGCACTTATCAAAACATAGCTTATGTTTGACATGGCACACGGTTTGACAGGTTCCTTCACTTGCTTTAGATGCAAGTACCTTTTCGTTATGGGGAAGTGGAGAGTGGTGGATGTTTCTTGCTGCACAGAGCATGGCCGTGGGTACTGTCATGGTCCGCTGGGTTTCCAAGTACTCTGATCCTATTATGGCAACTGGATGGGTAGGATCAACCATTCAAGTGATCTCTTATAAAGTCACATCAGTGTTCTTGCTTATGCATTTTGTTAAACAGATTAGTTTAGTGATGACTTTTTGTCTTCCTTATTCAAATGTGTATGATCACACGATTGAAAGAAAATTCGTTTTCAATCTACCTTTAGCACGATGGTTATCACGGGAAATTTCCTGCCCTCTTCAATTAACCAATTATGTAATGATTTTGAAGATCAGTACAGAGTTGTAAGTAATGAGTTCGATTATTACATGGTCGGTCTCTGATTGTACCATATCTAATGTCTAGTTCTAAGTGTTATGGTGTAGCATGCACGCAATTAAACTTTTATGGTATTTCTGGTTGGAAGTTATGAATTGCTTGATGGATGCCTTATACGAGGCTTAAGTCTATTGAAGAAAATAAAGCATGAAACTAAAATAAATGTATATTTTTTTGTTGCAGCACATGGTGATTGGTGGTCTCCCGCTTTTGGCGATCTGTATCCTTAATCATGATCCTGCCATCAGTGGGAGTCTGAAGGATTTTACAACAAATGATATACTGGCACTCCTTTATGCATCAATTTTTGGAAGTGCTATTAGCTACGGTTCATTCTTCTATAGTGCAACAAAAGGTTTCATCCTTTTTCCCCTTAACATTCTCTAGTTTGTACGGTGTTTTGCTTTGAAGTTAAACTTGTCTTATCTTGTTGCATATTTTAAACGTTACATGTGACTTAATCAATGAAGGCACATAAGTTAAGTAGCCGTTTTGAACTTAAATATGATGCACCAAAAAAAGAGTTTTGTGTGGGTGGGTGAAGGGAACAATAGAAAAAATTACATAAGTTTATATATTGAAAAATATAGTATTATTATTTATTAATGATTTGATGATACCATGAAAAATTAAAGAAACGATGACTTTTTGAAGAGATTCTTTGAAGATATATGGGTGCTCTTCTTAATTCTTTTTAAAAATACAAAAAAAAAAAAAAATTTAAAAACCACACAAAAATGAGGGAAATTGCTGCTTCTTATTCTTCTTCAAGATTGTAATTTCTAGGTCTTCTTAATTATTTTAGAAAGTAAAGAAAAAAGTATTTAAAAAAAGCACACAAAATATTCTTAGTAAATGAGGGGAATTGCTGCATCGTCATTTGATTTATGGTTTCACCGAGCTGGATTAATAAGCATTCCAAAATCCATTTCGTTTTAAGGTTCACTGGTTTTTTGATATGCTGTGTGCATCTGATTAAATTTTACATGTCCTTCATGGTTCCTTGACTATGATCTCTATTTTGTGCTGATTCTCCCTTGTGGATGGTTTTCTAATTATAGGTAGTTTGACAAAGCTCAGCTCTCTCACCTTTCTCACTCCAATGTTTGCTTCAGTTTTTGGGTAAGGATCTCATTATTTTTCAACAAAAACAAACACAATAAGTGAAATATCTACTATTTAGCAGAATATGACCATTAGATGCTACAACATTAAATGCGCAATCTGGTAAATTTTATTCTATTGCTCCATTCCACAAACTCAGGTTTCTATATTTGGGAGAGACATTCTCACCTATTCAACTGGTTGGAGCTGTTGTTACCGTGGTCGCTATATACGTGGTCAACTACGGCAGTAGTGTGGAATGAGAGCAAAAGATCTGGTCATGCTTTCAACATTCAACACAAAGGCATGAAATGCCAATTTACGCACTAGATCTTGAAGAATTTTCTTGAAAATGATAGGCTGGATACAATACCCTTATTGTGCAGCAAATGATAGTACATGGTGCAGATTTGATTTGTGGAGAAACACACCTGAACCGATGATACATGACAATGGCCTTTTGGAGAAATGAAATTGTGAACTGCCCCACAAAGCGTTCTATTGAGTTTTGAACTGTATCAGTCAAAGACCCCATTTGTAGCATTTGTAATTAGTGTATTAAAATGTATTCAAATTATGTAATTATAGCTTTTCTACGATTACATTTGTAATCATATTTTTTCAAACTTTGATATGTATACGTTCATTTATGGTTATTGAAAAGAATCTAGTAGGAGGAGATCGTTGATATCCAATTCAGTTTGCTTAAATAATTTGCACTGCTAATACTGAGGGGAAGATTATAGAAGGGGAGAAATTGTTGCAAGTTTGCAACTGAATACCATCAGAAGGAGAAATTCTGTTTTCCACAGCACAAAGAGAAGAATGAAAAAGGACAACAAAACGAAACAGAGAGATCTATACAAATCTAATCAGGTGGAGCCAGTGGCGGCTGCAACAGGAATTGTATGAAGAGCTTTACTGGCAACTCCAAGTCTCCCACGGCCAATCCCGCTTCTTTGGGAATCGGAGTCTCTCCTTCTCTCGGTCGTTCTCCGTCTGGTCTCGTCTACGTCGTGGATCCCTGATTTTGATTGAAAACTGGTCCCAGAGCCAGGATGTGGATGGCCTTCCTCTCTGATGTTCCGTCTTGACGTCCAGGAGTCAGTTGAATCAGCTGAGTTGGGTTCCCATGAAGCAGTTGAAATGCCCCAATGGTGCTGTTGAACACTGCCCACAAAACTGTTGCTACCGGAGGATTCTTGATCATCTGTGTCTCCACCTCCGGCAACCACAGGGCCACCCCCCCTTCTCACCGTCACGTACTTGTGAAAGCTCGGTTCCATAATGTCGTCATCCATGGCAACTTCTGATTCAACAAAAGGGTCTCTGATTTCTGCCACGCCCTTCCCTGCCAGATTGCCACTGTGAGGAACATTGTAGTCATTTCTGCTAGATTGGTATGTTGGTGGATTGCTTCTATCCTCAGAGAAAGCACCAGAGAAGTTTGAACTTGTAGTGGAATTGAGATCAGCAACTGCTTCAACTATGGAACAGGCCTTGGTTACACAAGCTGGAAGAGAGACAGGGTTGGTACTCTTTTGATGGAAATTCTGAATGTCTTGAAGCAACATCTTGGTGTAAGATGGTGTTTGACTCTGATTCAATAAAGCTTCTGGATTAATATCCAGTTCTCTAGATTGCCTTGCTGATCTGCTCCTTGCCAATCCCTGAGGTTTCTGGTGCTCAACCACTACTACCTCTGTGTTTGACAATGGTGTTGTGCAGCTGATTGGTGACTTCTCTTGCTGCATTGTTGAGCTGATAATATTCACAACACCTCTGGTGGTGGTGCCCCCGGTGGCGGTTTTGCTGCTATTCACTTGAGAAACTGTTGCTTTGTGACAACTTTTGGAATCAGTTTTTGGCTTCTGTTAAAAGATTGTGAGGTAATTATCAGTATTAAAAGACCTGTTGTTTTCTGGAGATTTAGATTCTTAAAGTCATAAAAGTTAAAAGGGTGTGTAGATTTTTCCAAATGTACCTGGTTTAGAGCGTTAATGGAGTCTTTAGCAATCACTTCTTCTGTTTCCCTTTTGCTTCTGTTGTGAATCTTGTTCTGTGGCTGTGAGTTGGGGTCAATCTCACTCAATGGGTTTCTTCTGTAAGGAGATTGCTCTGCTTTTCTTGATGAGCTGCGGCTCAGAGATGGCTGCTGCTGCTGATTTTCGTCCAAGACTTTAATATTTCCGTTGGTTCTTGCAGGAGACTGTGAACGAGGCGATGAAGCAACCCTCGTCCCCGCAATTGCCGTCGCCTCGCCGACGTTTCTTTTAACCGATATCCTCTTGACGGTAGCCACAGTCACTGAATCATTGGTACCACCACAACCACCATTGACAATGTTGTTCTTGTCCATCTCCATGTGACAGACTGTAGCAGGAACTGAAACCATCTTCGCCGGTCGGCTGAGACTGCCACTGCCGTTACTCGTATTGCCATTGGAAGCATTATTCGAAGCATTAGATGCAGAGGTTTCCGCCGACCGTCGTCCAGGCGACCGGCTGACACGCCTCTCCCTGCTGCTAGACCGTTGGTTCTGATCCCTCTCCCTACTTGGCGTCCTCCTCCTCCCTTGAGCAGAAGAGTGCCTCGAAGACTGGCGGTGGCGCTGCCTCTGGTGGTGGCGTTTCTCCGCCGGAGTCCCCTCGTCATCGACATCAACAGAATCAGCATTCTTCCCATCTTCATCACCAAAATTGGCAGAATCAACACCATCTCTGTCACAGTGGTCAAAATCATAGCTCCTCTTGGAGCCAGAATACTTCCTCCCATTGGCCTTGGCAGACGAACTCCGACTCAATCTCCCACACTGAATCAGAATGGCATCCACCTCCTCTTTGGTACAGCTCGAAGTTCTCACTAAACCCACTTTCAAACTTTCACCCACTGACCCAGATTCCAAAATTTCACAGGAAGAAGAGGAAACGCCTGAATTTTCCTCCTCAGGTGGAGGAATTGGCCCATTTCTGTCACGCCCGTCATGGCTCTTCCTGTGCTTGATCACAAACACCTCCTTCTTCACCGGGTAATCGTTTCTCTCCTCTTTCCTCTCGCCATTTTCTTGCTCTGTTATGTTGTTGTTGCTGAGTTTGAGGTCTGAGATGGGTGGATGGGAAATGGGGTTGCAGCCATTGGAGGAGTTGGGATCTGGGGTGGAAGAAGCTGAAGTTGAAGTTGGAGTCTTCTTCTTCTTGCTCAGACAAGCACCCATTAGAGATCTATGGCGGAAGAGAGAGAGAGAGACTGGTTGGTTTGAGATTTGAAAGTGAGAGAGTAGAGGAAACAAAGAGATAAAAGAAAAAAGGGGTAACGGGTGGCGCACTGTTCGAGAAGCACTTTCAAAATTGCAACTTTTTTTAATTTAATGTGATAGAGAGAGAGAGAGAGAGAGAGAGAGAGAGAGAGAGAGGAATTCGAAATTTGAGTTGTAGAGAGGGAAAGTTGGGAAATTTCTGACAAAAAGAGCCGTTGGATTAAGCTGGAATGATGGAATCAACGGAATATAAAGGTATGTCGTTTTGACCCTAACAATACCAACAACCAACGTAACTTTCTCTCTCAAAAAATATGAAATTTGGCTCTTCCTTTTTTTATTGTCATTGTCCTCTCTGTCTCTCTGTTTTTTTAATTATTATTTTCCACTCTCCTAGCACGTGCTTCTCACATGTTATTTTTCCCCCCTTAATTTAGGGGTGAAAATTAATATTGGTGTCGTGTGTTGTAGTTCCATAGTTAAGATATTAGCGACTTCGTTTCAAAGTTAAAGGTTTCAAAATTTCCCACAACTTCAATATAAAGTACAAAATTACCTAAATAATTAATTAGCTGCGACTTCGTTTCAAAGTTAAAGGTTTCAAAATTTCCCACAACTTCAATATAAAGTACAAAATTACCTAAATAATTAATTAGCTGACCTAAATTTTAAGGACTCGTTATTGGTTGAAGAATAATCTAGGATAATGCATCACTCTAATGTTTAGTTTGATGTAAGCCTTGGTAGAGAAAGATATTGTAGTGTAGGTGAATGAGGGATTTTTTCTTTCTTTTACAATAAAAAATAGGAAAAAACTTACCTCTTGAAAATTCAAGAGGAGGAAGCTTCTCGTAAGTTCCTATGTGGTCCAATAGCATATAGACAAGTGGATAATATAGAAATTATACAAAATTAAAAAATTCAGTTATTGGATCACACATGAATTCAAAATGAACTAATCTTCAAGAGGGAAGTTTTGTCCTTAAAAATATTTAAATTGGGTATTCACATGTGATGGATTTGAATTGGGTTGCGTGCATGAGGAGAATTAACGTATGTGAGAGAGACATTTTTTGAAACAGAGGCATTAAATTGGGTGAGAAAGAGAACCTCTTAAATTGTGTGAGAGAATTTTTTTAAAAAAAAGAAAGAAAAAGTGCGTGGAGAATTAAATGTGTAAGAGATTGCTTCTTTTTTTTTTTTTTTAATATAAAACATGTGACGTAAGGATTTAAATTAACGATATTTTTGGTATCTTAAAACTGTGTTCAAGTTGGCAAGTATAATTCGTATTATTTTAATATTTATGTTTTTTAGTGAACTAAAAAAATATAATTTTAGTTCATTAAATTTTGCAATTGTAATTTTATAATTTTATAATTAAATGATGACATGATATGTTTATTAAACAAAAAGATAATGAAAAAAGAATGAGCTGAATGATAAGACGATAATTTCATCTTTGTATACGTAACTTTGTGAAAAATCAAATTGACGTAATAATTATATATGTCACATAGTTGATAAGTGTAATTCTAGAATTAGAATTAGTATGTTAACAACCTTTAGATAATGAAAAAACAATAAAAAAAATTGAATAGTTTTATCGATTAGTACAATGACCAAAAAGAAGTACATAAAAAAAATAGTACAAAGACCTTTTTTAATACCACAAATATGAGACTGAGTTGTACTTACGTTGGTTAATTTTCAAATACATTAAAGTTTAAAAACGGACCATTTAACAATTATACCACTGTAGTTTCAATCATATAGTATCTAACTTCCTATATTTTTTTCAGTACACGGCTCTAACTTCCAATAATTGACTATTTACTTTGTCAATTTAGATAATGACCAGAGGATCATAACATTTTTTACCATCTAAATCAAGCATGATATTAAATATCCGTAATCCATGGATTTGACATCAACATGTGAGGTAAATCGACATTTCCGTCCTATTACATAAAATCAACAAAATATGAAAAAATATCAACAAAATGTCATTAATACATAGTTATATACCAAATATTAATATTAACTATTTTAAATTTATTTAGAAATAGAAAAATGTTTATGTGTTAATTTAAATATTTTTTACGAAATTTCTCTAACTTTTATTGACATTTTCATTTTGTTGATATTTCCATAAAATTGAGACCTCGATATTTTCATCTAGGTCAATATTTTAAAATATTGAAATCAAGTTAGTTTCAAACACATAGCGATAAATTTTTTTTTTTTCAATTTAACATATCATTGATAGAGTTCCATAATTATTAAAATATCCTAGCTCAACCAAAGAAAATGTTATATATGCAATTATAGGCAAAATGTTAAATTTACTGTAATTTTTTTTTTAAATTACAGAGCAACTGCCCTTCTTTCATGCATCCCAACATTAAATTTGCCTTCATTTGTCATTTGTCTATTTTTCAGGTAAAGAAAGCAGCACAACAAACCTAATTTTACATGCAAGAAATTTTGGAATGTTAACAACAGTGCTGTCTACAAACCAACAATGGCTTCCGAGAAAATTTTTTGTATTCGAGATCAGTCCTAAAAACTACACGCTAAACCAAGAAAAGAAGGCAAGTAAACCGATCAAAGAGCTGTGATGAACTTCTGAATCTTCCCTTGTGTTCGTTCCTTCTCCTCCGGTCCATCGAGATCCCCGATATTATCATGATACTCCTTTGATTCACAAAAGAGTTGAGTACTTCAGAGCATTTCAAATAACATATTCTTGTTGAGACTTGAAAGAATAACAAAACCGTGGCAAAAATAGCATCGCAGGCACTTCACTACACAGCAAGTGAAAACAATATTCATTTAAACCTTTTTCTACTTCATATATTTATATAGGGAAGTTCAACTGCCACAATTCCACCATTTTGTACCTTTTTTTTCTGCCCCACGGGGGGGTTTCCAATTGGGTTGTCAAAATGGTAGCAAAGCAAGATGAAGAATCATCTACAGGTAGTTGAGAAAATGGAATACAATTGATTCAAGACGAAATGAACCAGTTGATGAAGCAACCAATGGACTATATGGTAGGAAGGTTGACTGACATGTTTCACCAGACAGAATCGGTAGCCAGTATGGATAGATGGACAAGGGAAAAGCTCTCATTTAGCTGGACTGACAACCACGGCAGAAGGTGTTGGAGAAAGTAGATTGGGGAGCTGAAGAACAAAATATTTGAAGGCTGGAGATGTTGACTTTTGATGGCCAAGATCCCAATGTATGGTTGTTCAAATCAGAGCTCAATTTTGTTGTGAATAAGTTGGAGGATGAGTAATTGGAAGCAACTACCCTGAGTATAAAAGGTGGTGTTTTGACCTGGTTCTAATGGTAGAGGGAGAAATCCTCTTCAGGCTTTGGATCAAGCTATGAAGTCAATGCAGAATGACCCTATGTGGAAGTTTCCTAGCAGTATGTGAAGAGACTACCATGTGGGAACTGGGAATAGGCAGTGTCAACCCTTGTAGATATGCCGAACTGATGCCGAAAAAACTGTCAATGGTCTGAGGGAGTAAATATGGGCAGAAGTAAGAATGTTGCAACTCGTGGGCATGAACCAGAAAGTTGGAGCTGGCCCAGAGAGCCTAATATAATAATATGGACTTAGCTCCCCCCAAAGCCTAAGATATCTCTGAGAATCCAAAGCCCTCGCCGACAGGACACCCCTTGGGGTGTAAGAACTGGTCTACCTAGGGTCCTAGAATGAAACATTCTGATTAGAAGGGATGGTAGGGCCAAGATTCTCTTTAATCTTCCTCAACGAGCCCTTCGCGAGTACTTTCTAAGTACTTGCTACCAAATAAGTCCAGCCTTTAAAATCAAAACTCTTTTCTTCTTCCGAAACAGAAAAATAAAGTTCTCCTTCAAGCATACATTAAGGTGCGATCCTGTCATGTCTTAACATTTAAATGGAACCAACAAAAAGTTTTGCAAAAGAAGAAAGAAGGCACGAAGAAATGCAACAAACAACAAACTAATTCATCAGGAGCCACTTCTCCTCCAAATACCGAAACCACGAGACAAGTGGTTTTATCATTTACTTACCATATGATCACTTAAACATGATACTCATCCTTCAGAAAATAAACTATAATATATATATATTTTTTTAGTACAGGAAATAAACTATAATAAAGTATTTATAAATGAAAAAACTCAATTGAGAGGCAAACCTGAAGAATGTTCTTGATGTCCTGCCTAGTGAGTTTCTGCTGCTTGAGTAGTAATTCAATCCTTGCTCTCATTTGAGAGTGTCTACACAAGAAACAAAGAAATCAATACTATCAAATGAAACAGAATCCTAAAGGGATCATTTGGTAATGTTTCAATTTCATTTTTTTTTTCAAGTTTTTAAGAAACATATGTTATTGATAAGAATTCCTTGTTTCTCCTATCTCCTTTCAGGAAATGTTAAAAACAATGTATATAAGTTCTGGGAACAAAAGGACTTTTGTTTCTTCTTTCCAATTTTGTATAGCATTAATAAAAGCATTACCGTATCATATTTTCACCTATAAAATTCATAATAAATATAAAAGAGAACTAAAATAATATAATAATTTTAAATATTTTATTCCAAAAAATTATTTTCTGAGTAAAGCTTCCATTTCCCTAATTTAAAATTCTAGAAAATAAATGTTTGTTTCACTTTTCCCAAAAGAACAAAAAAATTAAGAAACAATTACCAATACATTTCTATTTTTTTCTTAAGAAACAAAAAAACAAAAAAACAAAAATGAAATGAGGCTGAAGATAATGCAGTTTGATGTAACACTTACTCAGAGCACCATAGATGTCCCAAAATAACAGCAATCAACTGCAAGAACATGGAATGAAATGTCAACACACCAATGGAAAATGATAAATAATTGTAAAGGATTTCCGAATTTCAAATAAGATATAGATTAAATGACATTATTTTCTAAGCCATTTATATATCCCACCTTTAAATGAATTTCAAAATGTGCCTCCTTCAACTTTCAATATGAATATTTCTCTCATTTCAATACATTCATTCTTTGAACAAATCTTTATTTGATAATAGAACACTAAAAATAATATCAATAAAGTTTCCAGCTAAGATTATAAACTTTAATGAATGCTAAAATATGAATGATATCCCTAGGTTATAGGTAGCCAACTCTGGTTCATCTCCCCATAGTATTTAAATGTTTGGTTTTTCTTTTTCTGTCAATAAAGTTCTGACTGATACTATGAAGTCAGAAGTATAAGACACCCTCAAGTCTAAAACGAAACTGTAAATCTTGCAGGTGATATTTGGTCAATAAAAAATTTCAAACATGCTAAAGGAAGAGAGGTTGAAATTATGTAGTAATCAAATTAAAACAAAGTTTAGGAAGTAAATTTTAGAATAGAACATTGAGCCGATCAATAATGCTGGTTCAAGTGGAAGAACAAATAGAACCGTCCAAAA